ACACTGATGCATAATTTTGTGAGCTTTCGAGACCATACGTGCTGCTGTCTTGCATCTGAAGCAGATTTGGTTGGATATTGCACATTTCTGTCCTTGTTGTTCCTGTCCTGTAGCTTTTGAGTGGACATCACTTTGTATCGAGAGGGATCCCAGGTGAGGGTCTAATACTGTGTGGCAACACCGCCCCACACAGACTTACTGTAGATCTGACACTGAGTTGATCTGACAATAAAATGGATCAGTGTAGCAGCTAGTAAGTCAGAAGGCACAGCATAATCCCTTCTGTCAAGTTTCGGTCTCGTCAATATTCAAATCCAGCCGGCTGTCCAATGGCTGTCAGTTACAATCTCCCTCTGGCTTATGGCCTTGCACAGGCACATACCTAAATTGAATTGGATGTTTGGTTCTCAATGGAAATTGAGTCAAAGAAATGACCTCCTACCCTGTATTGTGAACTTGTCAGTTACCTTGGATGAACTACTTTTAAATACAAAACATCCATTATGGTCCAATTGCTCGTCTTTATGGTTCTTCATGTAATTTTGACTTTTTCTAAATTAGTTTATTTATTTTACTCCTGGAAATGAAACCTGACATCTGATATCACCGCAGAGCAGATATTTGAATTTAGAAGCATTTTTTGAAAAGTTTCATTCATCTTTAGAAAGTAAAACTCACTCGTTGCTTTCTAAAGTACAGATTTTTTCCACCAGATTTTTTTAATATACTTCTCCTGAAGGTGATTGTCTTGTTTTGTCTAACACAGTCTACAGTCTTCACTGTAAATTGATAATTTATGTTAAATATCAGAATATGACAGTCAAGGAAAATTCTCTTCATTCACTTGAAATGACCTGATCTCAAAGTACATCTCACAGACGATGAAGGTCATTAAACCATGGTATCTTTTCAAACACTCTTCCTTTTTCTTTTGCACTTCTACTTCTCTGACACATGTCGCCCTAGCATCCAATGGAAAGGCTTGACCTTTGGAAAGTTTAGCACTTTAAATATTTAGGCTTGGGTTATGATGGATTCTCCAGGCCCTGTGGCAATGTGCAAAGCCTCTGATTAGGACCGCTGTCAGAGTCACTTAGCCGAGTGTCTGGCTGTCTGTGGCGCTTGGTGTTTGACAGGCGTGCCTTTTAAACAAACAGAGGTCCCAGTGGCAGAGCAGGCAGGGCACTCTGTGCAGCACAAACACCCGACACTGTGAGAGAAACCACTCAGCTCACTGACTGCTGCAGAAGAAACCACCAGCCACAAACTCTGGACATCTTTTAGGCACTCTCTCTTGTCACTGCTTGTTTTATTGTGTTGCCTTTCTGCGTCCCTTTGTCCGTGACAATACTTTTTTTTCTTCCACTGTCCGTGATTTGACATAATTTTATTCTTCTTTATCACTTTGCAAAGGTTTCATCTTCGTAGCTTCGAGTAATGTTTAGCAAGTTGATTGCCTGATGATCCTAATTTGTTGAACATCGCCACTGATTATGAGGAATCAGGAACGATGCTGCCTCTTCTGTATTGCCACCATTCCGTGATTAGGACGGCTTGCACCGTTGTTCGCGTTGAAATAGATCTGAACCAGCCCTTCTCATTTCACTCGGAGACAATCTCCCATGGCATCAATCCTGTAAATATATGAGTCTTAATATGTGTGTCCTATTCTGTATTCAGAGGAAGAGCCAAGTCAGCAGCTCCAGTATTAATGCATGAGAAATGAGCCAAGCCCATAAGAATTAAAGGGTAAGACTCCGCTTATTAAGATGTAAATTTCTGAGGAAAAAGTTGCCTGAAATGAGAACACAGTGAAGTTACTGTCAACTTTAGCCTACTTATGCATTTCTAAGAGGCGTTATTGTGTTGTAGCTGTTGAGATTAGATGCACGCAACAAAAATCCTCACTTATTCTTTTATTTATTTTTTTATTTTTTTGCTCCTTTTTAGCTCAAGATGTGCAATTCCATACCTTAAGGAACAATTTACAGTTTTGGTAACATTATCCAGCGACAGTTTACATCAACTGTTGTGATCATTCAGATTGTGTGTATGTGTGTTCTCTTCCTCTCTCTCCCCCCACCTCTGCCTCACACTCATTTCAAATTTGCACTTAACACCTTTCTTGGGAAAGGCTCCTCATTCATCAACAGTGTTTGTCCCAGTGACAAGTAGGGTGCCTCCTGCATATCAATATCAGCTAAGACAATGCTGAGCATGTAACCTTCAGCTAAATGTCATTCTGCTTAATCCTATTTGAAAATTAAACATTGAAAAACCTTTACCGTACCTTCCTGCTTTCCTTCTTCTCCCACTCCCTCCTTTATTGGCTGCCATTCTTCCAGCCGTCGGTTCCCCTTCGCTCGTTTCTTTTCTCTTATTTTGCACACCGTGTGACATTTGTATTGTTCTGTTTGTGCGAGTATTTGTGGATCAAATTGGCATTGTGTTAGAACAGATTTTAATTCTGTGTCACTCAAACCAACTTGTTTATGACTTCCATCTTTGTTCAATGCCTTTTGGGGGGTTTATTTTTATTTGTGTTTGCACAACGAAAGAAATAAACCTAAACATTGCCCAATAAAAGAGCAATGACCTAGATATATGTGGACGGAAGAAGGCACATTTACATAAAAACATACCTTCCTTACATAGGATTGTTGCTATACACTGAAGTTGGCTGTGAAATAGAGAAATTAGACACCTGATTGGTCCAGAAACATGCTATGACATAGAAACTCAAACTTCCTTCTGAAGGTAAAATAGCATTTTAGTATGCATTACCTACATGATTTGCTTTTAACTCCATAAAAACACACCGTGCACTTCACTCATGATCATGACATGGTGAGAAACAGGAATGGAGGAAGGGTGGGATAAAAGCAGACACAGAGATTGCAATGAAAATGCAATCATTTGAAGTTAGACTGATATAATTCTTCTGTGGAGGCAGCGTAATGCAGCAGCTCAAAGGACAACCTTCAGCTCTCCGCGTGGATTTGATTGACCACAGCCGCTTATTGAAAGGTTCATTTGAAATACTGCGTGTGAATTACAGCGAGACTGCCCTCGACATCTTCCCGTTAATGCTACATGTCAAGTCTGAAATGTGAAGAATTAGAAATATTTAAAGAAGCGACAGTCTGTAAACAGGATGGAGTGGAAAACATGAGCTTTTCTTCTGTAAAATGTAGTTATCCAAACAGGGAAGGATCTGTCAGTGTGTATGTTGATGTTGACTTGGTAGAAATTGGTGTGATGGAGAAAGATCCTGAATCAGAACATAATTTCATTACTTTCCTTCCTGTGTGTGTGTGTGTGTGTGTGTGTGTGTGTGTGTGTGTGTGTGTGTGTGTGTGTGTGTGTGTGTGTGTGTGTGTGTGTGTGTGTGAACAAGGAAATGTGTACGTTCATGTCTGCATTAGAACACATTTTTGTGAAGGTTTTAGACAGAAAGGTTGTTTTTGATTCAGCATTTGACTGACTAGTGGAAGCTAACCATTAGCATTAGCAATTCCATAACACGGCAGAACTCCTTCAGACTTGTGTTATTTGTGGAGATAAAAGACCCATGTTGCAGAGCAAACAGTCAGTGGTAGAGTTGTGTTGCTGTTATCCAATCATAGATGCCTAAAAATCAGGAAAGCAGATTCCAAGTCCTGTCATTTTCTGATCCCCATTCCTTACTTCTTCCTGAAACTGGAGCCATAATGCTTTTTTCTAAAGTGCTCAACTCCAAAACAAGTGAACTTGCTCTTTAAAATGTGCAGGGGTATCAAACTCTGGTCCTCGAGGGCCAGTCTCCTGCAGCTTTTTGTTGTTTCCCTGTTCCAACACAGCTGTGTCACCTGTGCAGCAGCTCATCAGGCTCTTCAGAAGCCTGTTAATCACGCGCTGATTGAAATCAGGTGTGTTGAGATGGGGAAATACTAAAACACACATGGAAAAGCGGCCCTTGAGGACCGAGTTTGACACCTGTGGTGTAGAGAAATACTCTCTCTCTCTCTCTCTCTCTCTCTCTCTCTCTCTCTCTCTCTCTCTCTCTCTCTCTCTCTCTCTCTCTCTCTCTCTCTCTCTCTCTCTCTCTCTCTCTCTCTCTCTCTCTCTCTCTCTCTCTCTCTCTCTCTCTCTCTCTGTGTGTGTGTGTGTGTGTGTGTGTGTGTGTGCGCGCGCACATTTAAAGCCTAGTGCATCCTCTTGATGAAGAGGATGGAGTAGGTTGGCTTTTCTGTGGGGATCTGAGTGTTGGTTGTTCTCTTTTTCTCATCAGAAGTCACAATTTCAATTTCATGAAATTTTCTATGATCCATAGATTTAAACAAACATTTAATTATTTTTCTTTAGGCCTAAATAATATGGTTTAATGTTTCATTAATGTTGTTGCTCTGTGTAGAGGTGAAACACTGGGCTGGCAAACTTTCAGCTTTGACACACCTGTGGCTGAGTAATGTTGCAACATTATGGTGACACAACACAGCTTGATCAGAGTTTCAATATGAATCTAAAGCAGACTACTAGTGAGATTTTTTATTGGACATAAATAGAACAGGCATGTCCAAAAGTGCAATCTGAGTCTATGAGGCCCCAAATATTATTTCTAGAATGAGGAATTTTGTCTCTCCCATGGGCATTTCATGTAGATTTATACTTTATAACAGTTTTCTTTTCAGATTTGTACTAATGTGCGTACTTTGGACACTTTTTGAGGAGTACCAAAATATCACCATAAAATCATTTTTAAATTAAAGAAATCTCCTTTTTGTGCCCCACGGGGGCTGGTAACTTGGTTCTTGAGGACAGATGGCCCTCGAAAAGTTTGGACACCCTTCAAATAGAAGAATTATATGGAAACATAACAGAGTTCTGATCTGGCATGTTAATGTTAACACGCACTCAACAATGCTGTAGGTTCAATGAGTAATGTTGAATGTGTTCTCATTTAATGTGACAAATGTTTGCTTGCATTAAAATGACAGTTTTGTGTGTTCAATGCTTTCCAGGTGGGATATGCAGGAGGGAGTGGAGCTTGAAGATGCAGAGAGTGCAATGATAGAAGAACTTCAGAAAGCAATTTTGGTTTGCTGCTGCCACAAGGACCCACACGATCCTCCCGGAACTGACGAGACGCCAACAAAGCAGCCCCAAGGGGAATCGCAAGCATCCGATAAAGTGCTGCCCAATAACAGCCCATAGTTGGAATTTTTGTATTTAAATGTTGTCTTGAAACTCTGAAGTCTGTCTATATGCAAGTTTTGCACATTTGTTTGTATGATTTGGCCTGCACATGTACATAAAACAGCAAATTTGCAGTCGTGTGCATGAAAAAAACAACACAAAACCAGAAAGATAAAAAAAACAACAACAAGAAAAGAAGTGTGTGTGAGCTGGTGCCTTTCTCTTGTTGCACACACCTGAAACAAACCCTCTGTGCTGTTCTAAGCTGCTTCAGATGCTTTTTTATCTTTATGGAACACATCTGCAGAAATCAGTACCGGAGAATGGGAAGCAGGGACTTTGTTTGGCTGGGACAAGATAGGACTGTGTGATCACCGCAGGTAGCTGAAGTTTTTCAAGACTGTGAGTGTAAAGATGTTGGTGTCAGCACTTCGTTCCTGAAAAAAAAAACATCAAATGGTATGGTTTGTAAGCACAGTGATACCTGTTTTGATTTTGATTTGCCCTAAAATTCAGCCCCTCAATGAAACATCAGTCAGCATTTAGTGCTAACTGGTATGTGTCGCACGAGTTCTCGGTTTATCTGTCTTTAATATGCAATATGCAATATAAATATGTTTTATTGTTGAATATGAGATTAAAGCCATGTTTTTTCTTCAGGCATTGATTTTCCTTGACAAATGTGTTATCTTTGTTCGGTCAATAGCTTATTTTGGTTTATGATTATGTTCGTAGACAACACGAGCAATAAAAATATGAATCTTATTTTTGCTGTTTTACAGGTTAAATGTAACACTTTTAACAGCAGAGAGAATTAGCTCACAAATGTTGCTTCACACTATATTTTTTAAAGAAAGAAAATCATAATTCCTGCTCCGCCGAGTTTTTACTTTCCTGTTTTTAAAATCAAATGCTGCTGGATGACAAACCACTTACTGGAGACAAAATAGTGATTCCTGCCTCTTTCTTTGAAAAAGACTGGAACAACAAGAAAATAAGCCTTGGTAAAACTTCACAATAAGGGTCTCTTTATTAACATTAATTCATTACTAAGCATTAATTAACTATTAAATAAAGTCTTAACAACTACTTAACCATATTATATAATGCATTACTAAGCAGAAACTCTCCCACATCCATTTGTCCTAACCTTAAGGATACTTAATAGTGAAAAATGCTGGAAACGTTAATAAAGGGACCCTTTGTTTATTAATGCTTAATAATGCACTAAAGGGGCCCTTATTGTAAGGTGTTACCCAAGTCTATTTACAGTTTTTAACTGTATAACAAATCCTTTTTATAGAAGAAATGGCAAAAAAACCAAACTCTTTTTTTATGACCGCTCTAAATCCACATTTTGATCAGTTATTTTTTTCCTTCTATATCTCAAACCACCCACATTTTTTTGGTATTTCCACTGTTTACAAATGAGCCCAGAAGGCTGTAAACCCTGCAAGCAGTCAACGACGCATGGAAGTACAGATTATATCTATATTGAGTCCAGAACAATTTTTTTAGGATGTACAAACATTGCACAGTGGGAAGCTGATAGGTGATTTACAAAAGAGCTTCTACTACATCGTTCATTTATTTAGGTCTTATCAAAGCTACATAAACATTACAAAACCCAGACCTTGTCATGATGTAATAAACACTGAAGTGTTGCAACGCGTGCTAATAGCTGAAACATTTGGTGTTGCTGCGTACACCTTAGCAAGATTTATGTGAACAACATGGAAACATTACACAAAAACAGACTGTTAACTAACTTTCTTAGAATTTTATAAAAATATACAAAAAACAAAGACTTACACTTCAATGAAACACACTGCTAGTGTCATGGTCTGTGTCTGTGTCTCCCCTCATGTGTCTCCTGTTGTCCTCCATTCGTCTCTAGGTGCTTCTTTTGTGTCTTCTAGCGCCCTCATGTGTCATGTCTGCGTCTTCCTCATGTGTCTCCTGGTGTTCCCCATTTGCCCTCTAGGTTTCCCCCCTCAGACATCCCTCTCCCAGGTCCTGTGCTCTCTTGGCCCCCTCTTAGCCACGCCCCTGTAGTTTCTTTCTGTAGTGTTTTCCTTTAGTGTCAGCTTCCCCTTAGAATATTAGTTATGGTTCATGCCTTCTGGTCTTTTGTTTTTCTCTTAGGTCATTTTCCTTTTTTTACAGCCTTTCATTATTTAGTGTTTTTTTCCCACCAGTGTTTTCTTCCTCCTCTCTGATTTAGTAATTGTGTTCACCTGGTCTCTCTTCCCACACACCTGCAATTCATCTCCCTCTCATCTTCCCAGTCTATATAAGCCCTGTCTTGTCTCTGTGTTGTTGTCGGTCCATTGTGTATTGTTGTCGGTGTTGTTTCGTGCTCTATGTGAGATTTATGTCTCCAGACTTTGGTGCTCTAAGAGAGCTTTCAGTGTCCTGTGTTCCAGGACTTATGATTCTTGGCTTGCTGTATTGTGGATTTATTTTGTTTCATCCTGCCAATTAAAGGATTTTTACTTTTTACCAACTCCTGCCTCTTGTCATCTGGGTGATCTGCATTTTGGGTCCTAACCTTCCCCACAACGTGACAGCTAGAAGGTGAAAGAAGACAAACATAATTCAAACAACTTCCATTTGTTTTATGCGACATGTGTTTGTTAAACATGTATTTTAATGCTGTTGTGAATGGTGAGAATTTACGTAGAAATTCTGTTTTGGATTTAAGGCGATTATCTCACGACCTATAAATTTGAGTTTTGTCATAATGAATGGAGTCCTGCATACCAACCTTTGCAATCACTAAGCTAGAAGGGTAAGAAAAACTGCATCATGGGAGAATTGGTCTGTCCCACATTTGCAAGAAACAAAATTCATATTCGAACCTTTGAGAACATTCTGGGTGGATATTTGAACATTTGGATTTTTTTGAGATGGTGTGTGTCCCGTTACATTGGATGTAAAACTAAACATGCAATTTAGAACAAGAATGTCATTCCATCCATCCATTATCCGTACAGCCTAATTTTATACTGTTTATCTTTGTAAACGCAATTCTGTTTCCTGGTTTTATTCCTTTTTATTGCTGAATGTTATGGTAACAGCCTGATGCCCTTGTGTATTTACCTGTTTTATTTTTTTCCTATTCTCTAAGTGAATGTGCAGCCTTAACGAATGAATTTTCCCACTGTGGGATCAATACATTCTATTCTATTCTACTCTAATCCTCACTAGGGTTGCAGAAACTTCAACAGTCATCGGGCAAGAGGCCGGGGACACCCTAGAGAGGTTGCTAGTCCATCACAGGGTGATTATTATACCAGTATTTAACCGTGGTGGTGGCAGTGTGATGGTCAGAGGCTGCGTTGCTGCTTAAGAACCTGGATGACTTGCCATATTTCATGATTTCTGCTCTCTACCAGAAACATCCTGAAAGAAAGTGTGTGGCTTCTGACCTTCGTCTGTTAAAGTTGGACAGCTCAGGAGTGAGCTGAATTTCATCCTCAGTGACACGACTGCCTCTTTACTACTTATTAGAAGCATTTTTAAAAACGTTTTTTAATGAATGACATATAATCTGCACTTGTATATTGCTTTTCTGACTCAGAGGACACCCAAGCGCTATCTACTACAGTGAATCATTGATCCACTCATGTATACCAGGTGTATTCATTTCCGGGCCTCGAGGGCCAGTATCCAGCACATTTTAGTTTTAACCCTTCCTCAGCACACCTGATTTCAATCAGCAGGTGATTAACAGGCTTCTGCAGAGCCTGATGAGCTGCTGTACATGTGATTGAACCACTGAATCTAGTGTGTTGGTCCAGAGAAAGCACTAAAACTGGCTGGATCCAGTTCCTCGAGGCCCAGAAATAAATAGCCCTGATTTACATATTCACACCCTGGTGGTGATGGGCTATGTTGTAGCCACAGTTGCCCTGGGACACACTGACAGAAGTGAGGCTGCTGAACACAGGTACCACTGGTCCCTGCTACCACCAAAAGCAGGCAGGAACCGCAAAGTGTTTTGCCCAAGGACACAACTGTACCAGATTGAGCAGGGCTCCAACCCGCAACCCTACAGTTACAGTTTGGGCGCTCAACTCCTCTGCCATCCTCACCCCAATGAATGTATTGAATGCATTTCATTTGTAATTTTTTTTAACTTCTGTAAATTTACAGACCAAGAAATAAAATGTTTAATTGAAAGTGTCACAGGGTGAAGCCAAAGCTTATTTGTGCCTGTCCCATATATCATATTGAACTGAGCTCAGTGGTACAAATGCCGAACAAATACCCCCATAAAAATAAAGCTGCTAACAAACAAACAACAGTAAAAAAAAAAAAAAAAAACAACGGCTATAGAATATTGTGAACTGAATAATTTGACCATGCAGAAAATAAAGTGTTCTTGACTTAGACTTTGCCCCATTTAATTCAGTGTAAAATAAATAAAAAAACTGAACGCAAATACTAAAAAAATGAACAAATCTTAATAATACATTATTTGATAAATCACTTAATAATACATATTTCTACTACAGCAGTAGCTTAGGAGGTGGTTGAGCAGGTTATCCAGTAACCAGAGTGTTGCAGGTTCAATCCCAGCTCTGCTGTTGTGTCCTTGGGCAAGACACCAACCTTGCCAGCTGGTTGTGGTCAGATGGACTGGTGTCATCCTTTTTGAGCAGCCTCACCTCTATTAGTGTGCCCTAGGGCAGCTGTGGCTACGTCATAGCTCATCACCATCAGTGTGTGAACGTGTGTGTGAGAATGGACGACTGATACACTGATGTGTAAAGCACTTTGGAGTCCTCTGACTCAGAAAGTGTTGATCATTTATCATAAAAATAAGATCAAACAAAACCAATGTAGTACAAAATGAAACAAGACAAAAATGTAAAAACAGTTAAGTAAATGCAATGTGCTTGTTGATTTACTCAGTCAGGTCACTTTTGACTTTATTCTAGCTCATTCAGTAATTTGTAAGTGCACGCGGCAGCCACTAGAAAATAAAAACGGCACTGTGCCTTTAAATCTCCCTTCCAGTCCGTTGCCTCGGTAACCCGGAAGCCACGCGCGCTCCACGCTGCTCTGCTGAGAGTCCTTCCTGTTTTAGAGATATTCAAGGAAGCAGCTGCGGCAGCCGCAGGACAGTCGCATAATAAAACAATATGGTGCGTGAGTCAAACAGAAAGTGTGCATGCATCTGCTGTAAACAGCTGGTCCTCTCTGAAGCTCCCCGTTTCGTTTGGGTTGGACAGCTCGTCTTAATAAACACGAATATCGTGTCCGCTCGCAGCTTTTGCTGCATGTAGCAGAGCGACAGGAATTCTTTATAATAAAACAGATGTTGTTTATTGTTCGGGAAATGGTGGCGCACTCCGAGCTGGCTGAGCGTGGAATTGGACTTTATACCTGTTGTTGTTGTTTAGGAAGCAGGAATTAATGCTAGCTTTGCAAAATCGACACATCTGATACGTGTTATTAGTTTTTACAGATTATGAGCAGCAACTAGCCTTGCATTTGCGTTAGCTACGCTTCTTAGGTGTTATTGGAATTGGTTCCAGCTGTTTTGTTCACCAAATTAAGCTTTTTGTCTTTAAATGCTAGTATTACTTCACGCACGCTCTTGTGCAACAGGTTTAAATTGATTTACTATTATTCCCATTATATGAACGTGACATTAAGAGGCGTGCATATGTACTATAGCATGTTTTGCAGCATAAATGTAATTTCACTTTATGTGGCAGGATTCATCTCAGTGATCTGTGAGGGGAGGACCCATGCTCTCTCATCTCTGTGCTGCCACATCAGCCTTGTACATACTGTGGATCACCATGGCCCATGTCGCTGGCCAGGATGACAGAGAGAGAACTACTGCACTCAAAGGTGAATTAACACACACAGCGTGTTGCTAGAGGGTGTGCAGGCAAAGCTGAGGAACATGGGAAATATCAGTTTAATTGCGACAAATGATTACACAAACAGTGCTCATGAAATCATACAGCTGTTGCTTTGTTTATCTCTTCTAGTTGGCCTTGCCTGGGCCTTTTATGGTTTAATTCTTAGGTGTAATTGTGTAAAACAAACAAAGCTAACATTAGAGTAAAAATTAAAACACATTTCATTAAAATAAATACACAAGAAGACATTGAGGAGGAAAAAGTACGAGTATAAATGGATTTGCTCTAGTCTTTATTCATGTTTGTTTTTAAATGTATTTAGCCTATATTAAAGAGCAAGTTCACTGAGAAACCATTTTTACTTGTTATTTTTTAAATGTGATTGGTTTCTCTGTGTTTCACATGCAGTCTGAATGTGAAAATAGTCTTTACCTATAGAATTAGACAGGGAAACAAAGTACATTAATTGCATGTCACTTTGAACATTAGCATTCATGGACTCATCAGGGCTTGCGACAAGTAAGGCTGTTGTTGATTTAGCATCCAGGAAACAGCAGAGCACATCTGGGCTAGTACAAGCTAACCGTTAGCATTAGCAACTTCACAACACAGCAGAACTCCTTCAGGCTTGGGTTATTTGTGGAAATAAAAACATAAACAGTTCAGAGCAAACAAAGTCAGTGGTAGAGTCGTGCTGCTGTTATCTAATCAGATGTGAGATGTCCGAAAATCAGGAAATAGGACTCCAAAACCTGCTGTTTTCTGTTCACCTCTGCTCTGGCTCAAGTTTAGTTTCTGAAATAGGAGCACAAGTGTTTTATTTATTTATTTTTTCCCCAGCAGAGATTGTCTCACAATGCATTAATTTATAGTAGAGACCACTGCAGATAAAAAAATAAAATAAAAAATAAAATAATGAGTTAACTTGGTCTTTAAAGGTGTGGAACCTTGAAAAAAACTTTAAAAAATAATGTTGTCATTATAATCTCTTCGAGTCTGAGTTTTTCATGCAGACTGAACATGAAAAAAGTCTCCTTCATCTATTTCCTTCTTTAACTTCTGACACTGAAACTGTAGGATTTGAAAAGCCTGACAGATCTACGTCACACTGTCACTTAACGTTCATGGACTCACCCATCTTGACTCTCGACGGGGAAGGTTGTTGTTGGTTTAGCGTCTAGGAAACAGCAGAGAACGCCTCGGTTAGTAGAAGCTAACCATTAGCATTAGCAACTCCACAGCAGAGCTCATGCAGGCTTGGGTTTTTTGTGGAGATAAAACATCAGTTTAGCAGAACAAAAGGAGTCAGTGGTAGAGTCGCGCTGCTATTATCAAATCGAAGGTGAGATATCCAAACATCAGGAAATAAGAGTCCAAAACCTGCTCTGTTCTGAAACAGTTTCATAATGTTTCATGACATGGCCAGCTTTTGACAATAAATCTTTAAATCAAAAAGAACCTTCTGATCTCTTCAAATCTTAATTTAAAGTACCAGAAAGCCTTAAGGGTTGACAAAAATACTTATAATATATGTATTAATATTCACCGATATGAAAATTAATAGCGTGATAGGAATGTTTTTGCCCAGCCCTAATGGAAATTACGTGTTGGAGCAGGATGAGTCACTAAGGCCTAGTCCACACGTAGCTGGGGTTTTTTAAAAACGAATATCCACCCCTCCAAAAACTTGCATCCACACCACCGCATTAAAAAAAAAAACTCTGTCCACACGTACCCGGATAAATACGTTGTTAAGGACATGCTAGACCTGTAGGCGGCAGTACTTCCCCTGTTCTTAACCTCGTCCTTCGTCTGTGGTCTTCCGCAAGGAGCAGTAATTCTGCTTGCAAAAACAAACAAGCAGAAAGCGCTTGGACAATTGATGGATCGGGTAGTGACAGAGCGCAGCTCTGAGGGCTTCCATGATGCCGGCTAGTGTAAACACAGGTCGCACACGTGATGTCAGCATTAATTTGTTGCGGAAAGTGACGTTGCGGACCTTAAAACTCCGGTTTTGTCCGTCCACACGCAGACACCCAAAACGGAGAAAACGCAGATCTTCACTTTGGCCGGAGTTTTTAAAAAGATCCGTTTTCGTGTGAAAAAACTCCGTTTTCGTGTGGATGACAGGCCAAAACGTAGAAAAATATCTACGTTTTGGCAGATCCCCGGCTACGTGTGGACAGGGCCTAAGTCTTTCATAAACGGGACATTTGTCCTCAGAGTTTCAACAAGCACTGACATGCATTTTATAACTCATATTAGATGTGTGTTATTCCTACATGGCTTTAAACAAAAAGATTTCAAATATTCACAGAAAATTAAGCTAGAAGGGAAATACAGCTCTTTGTGTTTTGTTGTTTTATATGACGTATTTTCTCTGTCCACAGATTTGTTGTCAAGAATTGATTTAGACGAATTAATGAAGAAAGACGAACCTCCGTTCAATTTCCCTCAAACACTGGAGGAGTTTGAATATGCCTTTAATGAATGTAAGTAACACAAAACCCGCTGCTAAAATAACAAAATGTCTGCTATCTAAGGGTCATGTTTTAGCTATGATAAATACAATTTAGGAGCTGTATTGAGGCAAGATAATTTGAGAAAGGAAGCTAGACATCAGAATGTGCCGTGTCTGGTCATCATTGTCTACAGCAAAACAATTCTATAGTTTTGTCTTACGCACCCTTAAACTGAAGTAATGTCCACTTGAAACCTTTTAAACACATAATTTTAATTTGCACATATACATACACAATGAAGCAGCTAATCATTGGTGTAAAAAATCAGCTATTTGGCTGAAATCTGGAAGTTTTTGTTTAAAACGTAGTATTTACAAAAGTAAAGTGCCCTGTATACGAGGCAATGGCTATATTCTTTAATTAATCACAGAAAAGATGAAATTGGCCTATTTTCAATAAAAGTTGGGAAACGAATGCAGGGCTAAAAGCGATTTAATTAACGCCCCAGTGCCAGGCTTGCTCACCCTCTTGTATTGTTTTTGCTATTGTTCCTCCACTTTGGTGCACTCAGCAGCTGGAATGCTCACAAATCAAAAATCTTAAACTGCTTCTGCTTATGTCAGTCATTTTTTTCTGCTTTGTTCAAATCCCAACCAACCATTTCATTGAACATGTTTGCATGAGTTTTGTTTCAGTTATTCCCCTGTGGTCCCAGCGCCAGGGTACTCTGGTCCTGGAGGGTCAGTATCCAGCAGATTTTAGTGGTTCCTCTGCTCCAACACACTTGACTCAGTGGTTGAGTCACCTGCAGCAGCTCGTCAGGCTCTGCAGAAGCCTGTTGATCACCTGCTGATTAAAATCAGGTGTGCTGAAGCTGAGTTAAAACTAAAATGTGCTGGATACCGGCCCTCCAGGCCCAGAATTGAATACCCATGGTCTAGTGGATGATTTTTCATAGTCCCTTTTAGTTGCTTGTTTAATTTTTGAGGGTTGTCATATTCCTTACACTGGGAGCCACAGTGTGTAAAATTATGTGTATCCTGTTCAGAAACTTGTCCTTATTCATTAATAGTTCCAACCAATGTGCATTCTTGTTATTCCTCTTAGTTTGAAATTTTACAATTATACAAACATAAACAGTGGTCAGCGCTCCATAGGCATGCGCCATTTTGAAATACCTTAGCTGTTTAGGGACATACAAGATCTAATGCTCGCTTTGACAGGAAAGGTCTCCTCCTCCCTCTAAACGTTTTGCGCGAGTGGCCCCGGTTCTCTCCGCGGCAGCCTTGTTAGTCTGGGGAAATTCTGTTCCTTCCTTTTGGCTTGCTTGCCTTGCTCCAACAGTATGTGATCGCTGTCTTGAAAGCTGGAAGTCGCTGATGACTGTGGTGGTGTGCGCACGGCTGCAGGGGGACGAGGGTCTAGGGGTGCTGCTCTTAGATGTAGGTTGGGTATCAGTTCAAAGGATACCATCTGCACATTTTCTGGCAGCACTGAGAGAAAACGTTGGGGCTAATTCAGAACATGAAAGTATAAGTCATAGCGTGGAAGTAGGGTTGGGCAATACGGCCAAAAAGTAAAATCTCCGATTTTATATACTTTTATGTGATTTACGATTTCTTTCCGATTCTCTCCCCCCTCAATTATTAAGAATAGCAATAAGTACAAATGGAAGGCACCTTAAAGCCAATTTTATTTTTTATGTAATCACAAGCAAGACAAATGTAACCCTCATTTCTGAGCTGAATAATGAATGGATGAACACCCTCTTGGGATACAGGTGCCACGCTCCACGTCCGTCGCAGCAAATCCAAACCAGTACCAAACAACGGATGATTTAATTCCTTTCTTAGGAACAAACTTCCCACTCTCACCGGTGGCCATGGAGTCACTTGCTGTTGCTGTTTCGTGTGCGTGCTGTGACTTTGTTGTCGCTGTTATGTGAAACTAATGCTACGGAAGCTCTGGAGGACCAAAAAGGTGCTATTACATAAAAACTCGATAGATTTAAAAAAAAATTTGCCTGCAACAGAAAATTCGAATTAATTCATTAAATTGATTTATCGCTCAGGCCTACCTGGAAGCATCTTCGAGTCCTTCTGAATGAGCTAGAAGAGGGAGCAGTGGAGCTCTGGGGATATCTACTGGCCCTTTTACGCTAGGGTCAGCTCAGCCTGGCCCTGGTAGGTTGTTTGTGTTCACATCTGAGTAATCTGTGCATTTTTCATGCTCAGCTGACCGTTTATTTAGGACCTGCTCGCTGGCGGTCAGCTGTGTGCATAGCCGATCCCACACACCCACTACCGACTGATTGGCCAGCTGAAGTTACGCCTACCTACTAGAGGGAGCCCCTAATTAGCGGGTCGAATCAGCCAGCTGGGCATCCCACATGCACAATTCATTATCAGTCTGGATGCAGTCTTCTCCATGCATCTTTTGCCCCTTCCTGAGAAGGCTGTGTGGACAAAACCTGGCCGTGCCGGGCCGGACCAACACTACCAAGATCGGAACGGGTCAGATATGAAATAATCATAATTGGTCTGTTTACACTGGCAATGTCTGCATGGAGCTTTTGTCAGCTGTGTTTCGCTGTGGTGCTTTTTGTGCTGAACTGACTCTACACACACCCACCTGTGGACAGATTGGCCGGCTGAAGTGATTCCACTCTCATGCCTACTTATGTAGTTGGAGCCTCTGATTGGCCTGGCAATGTGTTTGTGTGAAGTAATGTCACAGAATATCATCTTAAGCCTTCATTGTTGACACCTTCTCACATGTCATGCAGAGAGTTTCTTCTTCAAAAAGACTCCCCGTTTCAGTCTCAACTATAAAGGTACAAAGATGTCCTCCATTGTTTTTAACCATCTTATCTCACTCATCTCACAAGACTATGCCCACCTTCAGTTTTATCTAACTTGTAGCGCTTACAACTGACATCACAGACTTTTCCGTGCCACTTTGCTAAGCAGAGCCCGCCCTTGTCCTCGCCCATTTCGGTGTTCCTGAGATGGAAAGTCCTAAACACAACTAGGCCATGTGAGGGTGGGCTGTGCCACTCTGGGCCAGGCCAAGCTGATCCTAGTGTAAAAGGTCCTTATGTGATCTTCTTCTCTGGTCCCAGATAAGCACCTGAATGGATGGATTGATGTTTGTGGTCACAAGATCATATTAATTGTTGAAGAAAAGAAAGAAAGAAAACCACCAGGACTCTTTTGCTGGTTGGTGGTCATTTTAAATGGCTGAACTCTCAGATTTAGTCTACAAAACCAGAAAAACAGTCTAGCTTTACCCAGACTTGTTTGGAAGGAGGAATTGGTAAGTCTGTGGTGCTGGAGATCTAGGCTCTTGGCATTCCCCCGTAGCTTTCCTCCCTCTGTCTCTCTTATCTCTTGTGTTCTCTGTCAGTGTCTGGCTGGCTGAATGTGGGGACATGTTGTGTACTCTACGGCCCGTCAGTAACCTACTCAGCCTTGGCCTCTGCCTGACGGAGAATTTGCATAACCTTGCTGTGCCTAAGAACAGAGACTCAGCACCTGAAATTATGCAACACCCACCAACCACTTTCCCCCACCCTCAAGTCCCAGCTCAGTCTACCGTGGAGTAAGAAAAAACAAATCCCATCTTCTCTTTTTTTTCATATTTTTCCCATCCCGGCTCAGTTCTCTTCCTTTCTCTGTACTTATCATCTTCTTCCCAATCCAACTTAAAAATTCCACTTGAAACATGGGGTACACACACACACGCACACACACACACACACACACACACACACACACACACACACACACACACACACACACACACACACACACACACACACACACACACACACACACGCGCACACACACACACACACACACACACACACACACGCACGCACGCGCGCACACACACGCACGCGCGCGCACACACACGCACGCGCGCGCACACACACACACAATCTCGTCAATATTTTTTCAAGCTTTAAGGAGAAAAAAATTCCATTAAAGCCTCTGTGGCCCTCCGGCAATTTCCCTAGTATCCAGACGAACAGTCACTTTGGCTCCAAGGCTTTTTTTATTTTTTACAACTACACCCTTGCTACCTTGGCCCGAGAGGGGTGGAAGAAAAATGTTAATTTCACCATGTAATGATATGAATACAGAAGAGGCTGTGTACAATAGTTTGCAGGTATCTTAATCACTGAAGATGATGGCTTCATCTTGCCAGCCCTCCGGTTTTCCATTACTGGAAATCCAAGGTTATGTACACCTAATTAAGTGACCAAATTGAGAACAGAATGCTAATTATGACAGAAAAAAGAGGGGAGAAGTTGAGAAAATGTTATTCCTTTGAGAGAATGAATGAGAGAGGATCTGTTGGGGGGACATGCATGCACTCAAACACACGCGTGTGCATGCGCGCACACACACATCCTGCACCCTCACACACAACCATACATTTACACCCTCACACACACACACACACACACACACACACACACACACACACACACACACACACACACACACACACACACACACACCCTTCCGACAATAGGATTTCATTATAGATCCCTCTGTAGGTTGTGGTGTTTACATACTCACTTCTCCATGTATGCATAATTTATTTTATTCAAGGTAGTTTTTTTGCCTACAGTGCTGTATACTAACTCCTCGCTTGTCTCTTGTCTCTCCCAGACTCAATTGTATCTTCTAAACGCTGCATAATACCAAACCCACATTGAGGATTACATGTTGTGTAACAACTAGCAATGAGAGCAAGTGGTGTAATACACAATAAGGCAGCAGTGTAAGATTTATCACATTGATAGAGGTGTAAAATGGTGGCAATTTAGAAGGAAATGAAGGAAAAAAAGTGCTCATGCATTCTTTTATTTTGCAAAGATATTCATTTATACCTTAGATGGGTTTCCCTCACATAGTGCAATAATTGAGAAAGTATGAGGAGCCCCTGGCTATTTGGGTTAAGTATGTGTACTTTTTTTGTGGTTCAGCTCTTACAAATTCTGCAGTCATAAAGGTCAAAATTAAATTTAACACTGCTTAGTGCTTTATTGTGTTTCGGTGTCAACTGCAGGATCGATGGGCTCATTGCTAAGGTAGTGATTCCACAGCTGCAGAAGGGTAATTGTTTAAAAAGTAGTACTTCTGAACTTGTATTTTTGTTTTCTATATGGTAGGTGGATGTTTTAAAAGCCTTTTGTTCTCCAGAATTGCAGCAGCACTGCAAAGACTTTGAAAATGTGACTCAGTCGTGTTGTGCTATGAAAAGTGTGGTTGTGATTTGTCAAAGTAAAAAAGATCATTTTATGATTTTTTCTTATTTTAAAGTAGCAGGTGTACATTAAGAAAAACTTAATGCAACACTTGTATTCTGGTTTATTTGATCAACAAATGCTTTTCTTCTCTGTCTCTCGCAGACGGTCAGCTCAGACATACAAAAACCGGCGAACCCTTTGTGTTTAATGCCAGAGAAGATCTGCACCGCTGGAATCAGAAACGCTATGAAGCTCTTGGAGAGGTAACACACTGCTCTTCTACTGGTATCATGAGGACTTCTCTATACCTGCAGCTTGTTCTTTATAGTGAAAGTTTAGCTTTCTGTGTATGCGTGGGCTTTAGTACAGATACAAACTGTGTTTTGAGTTTTGAAAAACTCCCTATAGGATAATAGGGATCAACCTGTTACCACATAGAATTGAAACACCTCTACTACAATAGGACACTGAAAGTTTTTTCTGTTCACTTCTATGCTGATGACTGTCCTTTTCTGTCAGTGTATGTATTTAATTTGATTATGTGGTTGAGATTTCCTTGTCTGTGTCAGTTTTTGCTTCTTTCTGCTCTTTTTCATTTATGATTATTTGTGAACATGAATAGTTTTAATGTAACTTTTATTTGATTGATTGAATGAAATAAACTAAACGAACAAACGAACAACGGTCGGGCGACTGGTAGAAGTTGAGCTGTAGCGTGCATGACTTCCCAGACGTGGAAATGTTAGCGCTGGGATTGAGCTGGCACACAATTTAATCTAGGAATGCCCGAGCACTGACCGAAGTGGAACAGAATCGCGGAGCTATTCCGAAAGTAAGCTAGGGCACTTACTGGGTGAAGAAAGTTCGTTGGGAGAACTGGTGGGTTGGTTACTCTGATCATAGGTTCAAAGAAGCGATTACTGAGTGACTTGAGATGGAAGGCAACTTCCGTATATAGTCGCGGTTGGAGACGTAGGTGGGGAATGATGGGAATCCCGGCGAGGGGCTGTTGGGAGTTGTGGTCCTAGGTGGAAGCCAGTTGGCTGGAGGAGGATGACCTGTAGGTAGAGACTGACAGTTTGACATCAGCATTTCTTGATGTTTTAATCATCAAACATAAACATTAGCCATGTTTCCACAATCTCATTCCTTGCCCCCAAGATCCTTTGCTTGAAATATGCAACCTACTTCCAGTCCAGGGTTTGTTTACATTGCGACCATAGGTGGATGATCTTTTTGTGCTAATCCATGTTTTATGGACTTTTTTGAGAAGTAAACAATGTGGGAACATCAGCTGCCACAGCTCAAATGGGACATCATTACACTCCCTCTGAATACTGCAATAGAGAGGTGGGAGGATATGAAAATCTGACGTAATCTAACATACAGTAGCAATTAAGCTAATTTCTTAACAATGCCACATCCAACACCAAGGCAGTGAACAAACTTAAAAGCTCAGAGGCTTATATGTACCTACATAGTGCAACGTGTGTTTTGTTGAAAGAAGCGGGACACAATCTTATTTACCTAACAGCAGAGCCGAGTCAAAGGCTTAATCGTTTTCCCCCATCGCTCTTCGTTCTTTAATTGTCCCCCCCCACCCCCCATCGCCGCTCCTCCTTATTTAATAGTTTCCCCTGTCACTCCTTGTTCCTTAATCGTTTCCCGCGTCGCTCCTCGTTCTTTAATCGTTTCCCCCCCGTCGCTCCTCGTTCTTTAAAATCCCTCCTCACCAAGCCTGGGTTTTAGTTTCTATGTCAGGTGAAATACAAGAAATACAGGAAAGACCGGGTTCTCATGCCTTGATGTACAGTGAAATTGGAACGCAGCCACACTCTCTGAGGCCTAGTCCACACGTAGCCGTTTTTTTGTAAAACGAATACCCGCCCCTCCAAAAACTTGCATCCACACCACCTCGTTTAAAAAAAAACTCTGTCCACACGTACCCGGATAAATACGTTGTTAAGGACATGCCAGACCTGTAGGTGGCAGTACTTCCCCCGTTCTTAACCTCGTCCTTCGTCTGTGGTCTTCCGCAAGGAGCAGTAATTCCGCTTGCAAAAACAAACAAGCAAAAAGCGCTTGGACAATTGATAAAGCAAGCACAGCTCTGAGGGCATCCATGCTGTCGGCTAGTGTAAACACAGGTCCCACACCTGATGTCAGCATTTTTTGTCGCGGGAAGTGACGTTGCGGACCTTAAAACTCCGGTTTTGTCTGTCCACACGCAGACACCCAAAACGGAGAAAACGCAGATCTTCACTTTGGCCGGAGTTTTTAAAAAGATCCGTTTTTGTGTGAAAAAACTCAGTTTTCGTGTGGATGACAGGCCAAAACGTAGAAAAATATCTGCGTTTTGGCAGATCCCCGGCTACGTGTGGACAGGGCCTTAGGCTGAGGTGCACGTTCCAAACATTTATTTTTTTCAAATATTTATTTCATTGAATAAAAAAAATTACAACTAATAAATAAACAATATACATATAAACACAATACAAACTTGAGTGAAAGGGAGCAGATGGAAGAAAATAAATCTTATAATTTCTGCCCCTTTTTCCAAACAAATATAACAAAACCATCTTTATGCATTCCCTTGAAGTTCATTCTGTCACGTTCCTTGTCCATATTTCAATCATAACCACTGACATTATTCACATTCATATCCACCCAGCACACTTGATCTAATATATTCTCTAAACACTTTAAGAGTTCTTGACTCTTTCACTTCTCTGTGTAGGCAATGCTATAATTTCACACCATTCACCAAAATACTCATTTCCTTCATTCTGGTTATAAATTTGGGTTTTTTGAAGACTTCAGTTCCCTTCAACATATAACTGCTTTCCTTCTTTTCAAACAATCGCTGAATGTTTTTGGGCAACAGACCTATATTAGCTTTATACATTGTAACTTTGCTCTTGTAGCCACACATTGAACTTTCTCTGGTTGTTAGTACAACTGCAAACTGTGCAACATGTTCCCGAGCCACAGGAGTTCATTTTCTGGGTCAAATAATTTTTTTAATCCTCTTGAAATGTTCAAATAATCTGCTACTTGAAACGAAACCTCACCACGTAAACCAATGGTTCTGGAACACATTCTCACACCCTAAGCGTCGGAAACAAACGCTTGGTCAGCCACCCTCCACGTCAGACCCCAGACGCCAAAAGTGCCCTTTTTCGTTACAAAAGGGGAAAACCCCTTTTCGCACATAAGTAACTGCAGATCCCAATGCAGCGTAAAACCGACGTGATTAGATATCCGCTGATGCGGCACCGAACCAGCTCATTTAACCGCACCTAAACCTTAACGTTTCACTATTTATAACCTTCCCCTCTCCCTCATCCTAACCTTAACCCTCATTTCACCGATGCAGCACCGAACCAGCTCGTTTAACCGCACCTAAACCTTAAATGCGGCAACGAACCAGCTCATTTAACCGATGCGGCACCGAACCACCTCGTTTAACCGCACCTAAACCTTAACGTTTCGCTCTTTATAACCTTCCCCTCTCCCTCATCCTAACCTTAACCCTCTTGCTACCTAAAACGTTACTCTCACTGCGATCAAGCGTTTGTTTCCCCTGCATTCTGACTCTGACAGTCAGAGTCTGACTGTGAATTTTCGTATTTGCCGCCCAAGGGGAAAGTTAGAACATACCATCTGGCGAGGGGGAGGTTACACATACCCTCTACTTTTAACCTCCACCTTGGTAGTTGAAACCTCCCCCTCGCGTTGGCTCGGTCCAAACTCGACCAATCACGAGGCGGCTCCCGCCGTTCACTTCATAGAGCCGGCTTTTAGAGTGATCGACACATCACTAACGTGTTCGCTGGCAAGATTGTTAAGGTTAGGATAGGGGTGAGGGGAAGGTTAAATAAGAGGATAAGGTTAAGGTGAGGTACAATGAGTTTGTTTGGTGCCAGTGTAACGCTGCATTGGGATGCAACGATAGCGGACATCCCATCGCTTCAGTTTTACGCTGCATTGGGATCTGCAGTCAAATAAAGGAAAACCCCTTTTCGCACATAAGTAACGAAAAAGGGCACTTTTGGCGTCAGGGGTCTGACGTGGAGGGTGGCTGACCAAGCGTTTGTTTTTGACTCGCTGGGAGTGAGAACGTGTTGGGTTCTGCGCTATATCTGATATCTCACCGGATGTTGCTCGCATAATTGTTTCTACATGAGCAGGCCCAGGAATAAGGTGGATAGGAGTTTCTAGAAATTTCTGGGAAGGAGGATGGTGACGAGGAAAATATGATAGCTCGGTTCTCTAAGCCATTCTGTCTTCATACAAAATCAGCTCTTAAAGGACGTTGTTGTTACCGTTTCAGCAGCGAGTGACATCGTTGATCAGTGCCAAACGGTCTTCATGGATAATAATGACCAGAAGTATAGCGCAGATTTTTACAGTGCTCTGTAGGAGACCACAGAACAGGGTGATATCTGCTGCATTTTCTGGTGTTGGTAGTTTAGAAATGGTGATTTGAAAGCACATTGCTGCTTACTTCCTTTTCCTTCCATTCTGCTTCACCAACAATTTTCCCATTTTATAAATGCCGGGTTTTGCCAATATCTGCCGATATAATTTACTGCTGAGTTACAACTAAACAGCATAAGTTAACCACAAGTCCTGCCCAGCGATTCTACCATGACGGTTTTGGAATACTTATCAGGCTTCAGGTCCTTGGCTCCTGAAGTGGCCCGGAAAATGGTCCTTTCAGGCCGATCTGGTGAAACGGAGACGCAAGAATAAAACAAAGGTCCGGTAAAATTACTCAAGTTCTGATAGTTGAAAAAAACCTACCATATTTTCACGACCATAGGGCACACCGTGTTATAGGGCGCAGCTTCAGTTACGAGTGTCTTTTTTGTATTTAACCTGGTTTAGAGCGCACGTGCACTTCCTCATTGCATGTGCTGATGGCTCGTGCTCTTCTAATGGGCTCGACACACGGAAGGCAACTTCGCCTCTCCTCCATTCATTTTCAATGAGACATGCACGACAAAGCGATAATCGCGGGTCTCCCTCTTACTAAAGCCGGGCATACACCGGGAGTCCTGCAGGAGGACACACAGGGATTTATGGGGGTTGGATGAGGAAAATGAAATAAAGTAAATCTGTGTTTTATGATCAGTTTAATTTGACATGAACACGACAAATATGCTTTCTTGACAATCTTTGTGAGTAAAAAAACGCGTAGAAATTAAAACGAACAGCGTGTGTTAATAGGGAAATAGCGGGCGAGCAGTGTTGATGCAGG